TTTTGTTGTTGTTGTTGTTGTTTTTTGGTACCAGGGATCGAACTCAGGTCCTTGTGCTTGCGCAGCAGGCGTCGAAACCACTGAACTAAATTCCCGGGCCCCTAAAATGTTTTTGATGCAGAAAGTAGTATCTTACTCAGCCTTTGGTCACTAATTGAGATATTGGTTGAATGTTTGCTTAGTAGCCTCCCAGAAAAATCCCTGGGGCTACAGAGCCACAAGATTGTGATTGGTTCTGTCCATGTTGAGTCATAGTTTGGAAGGGTGCGGGAGGGAAGAATTGGTAAATGTAAACAACTAGGTATCATTTTGACCATGCCCTGCTGCAGGTCAGTGATTGAATGAGGCGTTTAGGCAGTCTTCTACCCTGGAGTTCATCATGCTCTGCGCCCATGTGCTTTGAAAGTCTCCTCTTTTGCTCTGCTGTAGGTCTTTCACCAGTCAGGTAGCTGGTGTTGTCTGCTGAGGAACACCTTAGTTGTTGCTGCTATCTTATGACATTTGGCTTTCCTTAGGTATTGCTTGATATAATGAAAATAATGAAAGACCTTTTTTAACCTTAATATTTTATCCAATTCTTTGAATTCTGGGACTGTAGAGGCAGAGCCTCTGGACCCTATTAGCCTTGCTGAAATTCCAGCTTTCTGAACTAGTCCTGCACCTTCATCTAATGTGTATCTTAAACCCGCACATGGCCGTAGTTAAGTTCGAGGTAGACCAGTGACATCCGTTGTGGACTCCACCGACGGGAATGGGGGATGAGTGCTTATCATTTTCTGGGTGATGGCTGAGGTGTTGGCTTTGGGCTTTAGATTTTGATATATTTTTTTCCTGTTTGCTTTTGTTGGCAAGCTTCTATACAGTGATGGGTGTATTAGTACATCCTAAAATGTTTTTGGGGGGGTTTTCTTTGGTTTTTGTTTGTTTTTTTGGTACCAGGAATCAAACTCGGGACCTTGTGCTTTCGAGGCAGGCGGCGGCACCACTGAGCTAAATCCCTGGCCCTTGTTTTTGTTTTTTGAGACAGTCTCACTATGCAGCCCAGTTGGCCTCAAACTCATAGCGGTCTTCCTGCCTCAGCCTCCTAAGTGCTGGGAACTGGGATTACTGGCTGAGCTGCCAGGCCCTGTTTTATGTTGTTGTTGTTGTTGTTGCTGTTGTTGTTGTTGTTATGCCCTGAAGAAAAGGACTGAATCCAGTGGCAAATACTGTATTATTGGCAGGTCTCATTTTCCATGTGGCTTGATGAGACAGATTTTGGTTCAAATCTTAGCTCTGCCACTTAAGTGACCTTGTGTCTTTGGGCAGATTTCTTACTTATTAGTCCTGAAGTTCCTTCTCTATAAAATCATGGCAATGTTGTCTTCCTGGAGGTTTGGAGGACTCAGTGGATCCTTACTGAATCCTGTGGCATGCAAACACTCACTGGTCCAAGCCCAGTACACAGCCGCATCCTGGATGTCTGTGTGTTGCCCTCCTAGTGGGAGGGGTGGACAGGAGCCCCATGATGGGAGCAGCTAAGTGTAAGGACCCTTACTGTGTACCAAGCACCATTTCACGGCCTATGCATATTTCATTCTCCCAGCAACCCCAGAAACAAGTACTGTCATTAGTCCTCTTGTGACCAAACAGTCTGAGAGAACTGAGGAAGCAGGATTTGAACTCAGGCATTGGCTTTGGAGGCAACTTTTTTTCCTACTGGGAATCAAACTCAGGACGTGGTGCTTGCCAAGTAGTCTCATTGCCACTGAGCTAAATCCCCAGCCCTTGGGGCAACATTTTTAACCAAACCCTCTGCTCCCTCTCTCAGCTGTCTAAATAAGACACTCAGAAATAGTCTACAGTGACATGCATGCCCAGAAACATCTAGTCATTGGTTATGTTATATCAAGTGCACAAGTCTCTCAAAAAGAAGCCCTTTCTAAGCCAGACATTGAACTATACAAACTATCATTCTTTGGCTAAACTTTTCTCTCACTCAAAAGGGCCCAAGATGTGTATTTGTCAAGGATCTACATATGTGAACCACATAAATAATACCTATAACCAGGTATGATGGTGCATGTCTGTAATCCCAGCACTGAGGAGGCTGAGGCAGGAGGATCACTGTGGGTTAGAGACCAGCCTGGGCTACGTAGTTCAAAACTAGCCATAGTAAGACCCTGTCTCAAAAAATAATAATATTGGGCCGGGATTTAGCTCAGTGGTGCCACTGCTTGCAAGGTAGGCAAGTACACATACTTATAGAATTTTTATCTCATTAAAATTAAAGGGACAGGCTGGGGATTTAGCTCAGTAGTGCCATACCTGCCTGACAAGCATAAAGTCCTGAGTTCAATTCCCAGTACTGAAAAAAAATTAAATTACATTAAAGGGACATAAGCCAGGTGTGGTGACACACGCCTGTAGTCTCAGCACTCGGGAGGCTGAGGCAGGAGGATTGCTGGAAGTTCATGACCAGCCTAGGCTATACAGTGAGTTCAAGGCCAGCCTGAGCTGCATAGGGAGACTCTAAAAGAAAAAAAAATTAAAGGGACAAATTATATAGAATATAGTGATATTACAAATGGATATGTAACTGTCTGATTTGGTTTAAAAGGCTGTACAGGGGCCGGGGATTTAGCTCAGTGCTTCTGCCGCCTGCCTCCCAAGGGCAAGGTCCTGAGTTTGATCCCCCATACCCCCCCCCAAAAAAAAATTAGAGGGCCGAGGGTGGGGCTCAGTGGTAGAGTGGTTACCTAGCAGGAATGAGGCCCTGAGTCCCATCCCTGGCACTGAAAAAAGAGATAGTTGTGGTTGGGGAGTCCCAGCAAATTGGGACATTTAGGCAAGAGGATCACTTGAGCCAAGTTTGTGGTCAGCCTGAGCAAATACAAAACTGTCTCCAAAAAAAGTTTAGTGCTACACATCCAAATAAGAAGAAAATTTAGATAAGATAATGCATTTTGTATGTGTATGTATACACATATATACCAAGACAATCACATATGTTATATCTTGAAGAAAGTAAGCATAATTTTCTCTCGAGTCAGTAAAATTTTACAATTTTTTAATTTTATATTTGTTTTTTGTTTTGTTTTGGGTACCGGGGATCAAACTCGGGTCCTTGTGCTTGCGCAGCAGGTGGTGAAACCACTGAGCTAAATCCCCGGCCCCTTTATTTTTGTTTTTTGAAAAAGGGTCTCACTATGTAGTTTAGGCTGGCCTTGAGTTCAGTATGTAGCATAGGCTGGCCATGAACTCACAGCAATCCTCCTGCCTCAGCCTCCTGAGTGCTGGGATTACAGGTGTCCATCACACCTGGGATTTTTGGTATTAACGTTGAAATAACTAGGGCCTATTTTCCTGATTTGTTGAGAAAGAACTTTGAACTTTTGCGGGGGGTGGATATGATGATGGGGATTAAACACAGGACCTTTGCTCTGGGCTATATCCCTAGCTCTTTAAGATATTTTTTGTTGGTGGTGTTTTTTTTGTTGTTTTCTTGAGACAAGGTCTCACCAAGTCTCAAAGTTGCCCAGGCTGGCTTGAACTTGTGATCCTTCTGAATTGGCCTCTTTAGAGCACTGAGATTACGGGCATGGTGGTGCATTCCTATATTCCAGTACAGTGGGAGGCTGAAGCAGGAAGACTGCAAGTTTAAACTTACCTAGGGGCACTTTTGCAATTTAGCAAGACATTGTCTCAAAAAATTAAAAAAGGGCTAGCAATATAGCTCACTGTGAAGGCTCTGGGTTCAATCCCCAGTAAGGCCAAAAAAAAACAAACCCAAAACCCACAGACACACACACATACCCCTTCCTCTCCTTTACACCATTGAATGGGCAGCTGTGGCCCCCTTTCTTGTGTGACAACCACATTTTGTAAAGCTGGCTGGCTTTGTATCTCTCTCCCTGACTATGACAGGGCAGAAATGGCTACCTCACTAAAGGGCTGTGAAGCTTGGGCTATTTGTGTGAGTCAGGGTTGCCTGGGTTGCAGTTTTTTGAATAGGGTCTTGAAAAGATACAGAGGCATAGAAATCTGAGTTCAGAGGGGAACTAAAGAGTGAGGGAGGGACTAGAAGGGGGAGCTGTGAAGTTGCACTGGTGGGAGCCAGTAGAGGGGGTGGTGCCCTTTGCAGAATGACAGCTAATTGCTTTTCATCCTCACTCCTGTCTAGGGCTGAAATCACACAGATTTAAGTTACAGGTGAGGAAAATGCTGAGAAGATGTGGTTAACAAGGAAAAGCTTGAAAATACCTTTAAAGTTCTTTAAAAATAGGATGATTCAATGTGAAGCCTGTACAAAAGGTAGAGAAAGCAACCTGAGTCTTGACGGACCAGGGGCACTCACTCTTCCAGGCCAGCTCCTTCTGCCCTGAGTGTTGCCTGCCTCCCCCATGGTGACCATGAACTTTCCAGAAAACATAGTTCCAGGCCAGGTGCTCAGACAAGAGGATGGAAAGTCCAAGACCAGCCTAGTGACTTATTGACTGAGCAAGACCCTGTTCTCGGAGTGAAAAATACTAATGGGGCTGGGAATCTAGCTCAGTCCAAAGGTCTGGATTCGATCCCCAGTGCCAAGATTTAAAAATTCCTCTTTAGGAAAAGTTCAGGAGTCTGGTCTAGAACGTGAGAGCTCTTATACCCCTATTCTGGCACCTTGTTGGATCACATTACCCAGAGGTTTGGGTGGAAAAGAGAATTTGATGATTATTACCTGGTCTGTGCAGCTCTTTTTCTGATTTTTGTTCTTTTTTTCTTTTGCTTTTTTCTCTTTTCTTCCTTTTCCCAGTAATCGGTATTGAACCCAGGGCCTTCAGAACTGAGCTGTATCCCTAGCCTTATTTTTATTTGTTATTTGAGGGTCTCCCTAAGTTGCTCAGGCTAGGCTCAAACTTTCCATCCTCCCGCCTCAGCCTGCCAGAGTGCTGGGACTACAGCCGTGTGTCACCTGTTCTCTTATTCTCTCCTTGTAGCCATTCAAGGCAGTGCTTAACTGTTTTCTTTTGGGTTAGGGTTCTGCAGCATTCCAGACCAAGAGCACCGAATCAGGATGGGAAAAAGACGTTGTGTTCCTCCACTCGAGCCCAAGTTGGCAGCAGGCTGTTGTGGGGTCAAGAAGCCCAAATTATCTGGAAGTGGAACGCACAGTCACGGGAACCAGGCCACTACTGTCCCCGGCTCTAGTTCAGGACCTCTTCAAAACCACCAGCATGTGGACAGCAGCAGTGGACGGGAGAATGTGTCGGACCTAACTCTGGGACCTGGAAACTCTCCTATCACACGAATGAATCCCGCATCGGGAGCGCTGAGCCCTCTCCCCCGGCCCAATGGAACTGCCAATACCACTAAGAATTTGGTGGTGACTGCAGAGATGTGCTGCTACTGCTTTGATGTACTCTACTGTCACCTGTATGGCTTCCCACAGCCTCGACTTCCTAGATTCACCAATGACCCCTAGTGAGTAAATGGAGCATGGGGACTGTGCGGAGGGCATGGTGCAGCATTTGAGGTCATTCTTTTCACAAGAGCACACTGCTGATTAAGCTTTAACATCATTTGAGCAGAGAGTAATGGAGTAGAGTGATGAAACAAATCCAGATGCTATTTAAATCATTCAGCAGATTCAGTAGTGAGGTGTGCTAGGTATGTTTGGAGGACGTGTAGGTTTGTTAAAGTAATGATCTGGAAATCAGGAATTTCAGTCTTGGTTCATATGGTGGTAATAGGTCATTTAACTTTTCATGTTTAGAAGTCACACCATTGGGAACCTCAGTAATATTGAAGTCCAAGTGACTTGTGGGTGTCTTAGGCCCTGGCTAGAGACGAGGAACTCTCATTCATTGGGAGCTGGTTTTTTGTTTTGGTTTTGGTTTTTTTTGTGGGAATAGTGATGGTAGAGGAAGCTAATGCTTTCAGGGGGGTTTTTTCCCCCGGTACCAGAAATTGAGCTCAGGGCCTTGGGCTTGCCAGGCAGGCGTGGTACCACTGAGCTAAATCCCTGGCCCAGCTAATGCCTTTTTGTTTTGGTACCGGGGATCAAATTCGGGACCTTGCGCTTTCACGGCAGGCACCCGAACCACTGAGTTAAATCCCCGGCCCCCAGCTAATGCTTTTAATAAGGGTCACCTTTTTGTTCATCAGCATTCCCTGGTAATCCCATAGAGTAGAGCTGCTGATGTCCCATCAAGAAAAGTCAGAATTGGCTGTTAAGACCCTATTGTTTGTCCTAAGACCTGTAAAAGGTGTCAATGAAGTACAAGTAAAAGTAATATATGCCAGTGTTTTCTTTTTCCTCAGAATTGGAAGCAGCTCTCAGCTGGCTTTGAAGAGCACCAAGAGCACTGCTGCTTTTGATTTTTGTTTTAGGTGGAGTGCTTTTGGAGCATTCACTGATCTAAGGTCATTCCTTTCTCAACTGTTGATACCCTGGCTAAGTCTGTGTGGAGGCCTGGACAAGGATTGGGGGAGTATAAAGAAAAGGTCCTTGCCCTCAGGCAACATGGCATCGAATTGGCAAGTCACACAAACCAATTAATAGTAGTAGAGGGAAGGCTAGGGATTTATCAAAGTGGTGCTGCTCCCTGCCTCACAAGCGCAAGGTCCTGTGTTTGATCCCCAGTACCAAAAAAAAAATAGTAGTAGAGGGGAATTTATCTTGGTTGTGAGTGTCTGAGGAAAGGAAAATGGAGAAAAATGTGCTGACTTTTTAGGGAAGTGTTGCCTTGTGGTACCTTGATCAGAAAACTGGCAATTGAGCAGATGAGGATTCCAAGCCAGGTCAGAATCCAGGCATTCTATGGCAGGAAAGGGTTTGGTTTAAAGGAACAGGTTGTTGCCTTTGTGTGAGTGTCTAGGATTTAGGCCAGTGATGATGAACCTATGGCACTTGTGCTGCAGTGCAGAATCATTGAAAACCCTAAAAGGTTTGCCAACGCTGGTTTAGGCTTTTGTGTTCAGGACTTTGTATTTTCATCCTGTGGGTAGGAGAGGTCTTGCGAGGTTTTGGGGAACTGTAGCTTTGGCTTATATTGTATAGGTACTTGTTTTGTTTTTTGTAATAGTGGCAGTTGAACCCAGGGCCTTCACATTGAGCTATATCCCCAGCCCTTTTATTGTTTTTTATTTTGAGACAGAGTCTCACTGAGTTGCCTAAAGTTGGTCTCCAAGTTGGAATCCCCCTGCATCAGCCTTCCAGATGCATCAGCACACTCAGCTAGGTTACAGGTGCTTTATTGGAAGGAAATATGGGTAGGTGAGAGATTTGCTAGCAGCCTTTGGAACAGTGATGAAAGAAGTAGATAACTTTGAGCATTTAAGTTGCCTAAGAGCAGTGATTCACTCAAGAAGCTAAGAAGTGGCCAGATGTAGTAGCTCATGCTTGTAATCCCAGCACTTGGGAGGCTGAGGCAGGAGGATTGCCCTGAGTTTGAGGCTAGCCTGGATTACATAGTGAGACCTGCTATGTAAAAAGCCAAAGGAAAGAGAAGAGAAGCTAAGAGGTAAGGTTGTTAGAGGTGTGGAGGGATCTCAGAAAGAGGAGACAGCCCTGTAACTTTCTAAAAATTCTGTCACTGTCAGTCTGATGTAGCTTAATAAAGCATAACTTTAGCCTAGGAATAGAAGTGGCAACTTCTGCTAATAAAAAGCTTTCTTGAGGGCTGGGGATTTAGCTCAGTGGCGCCACACCTGCTTTGCAGGTGCAAAGTCCTGAGTTCAATCCCCCAGTACCAAAAGAAAAAGTTTTTATGCGATGGCATTATTTTTCTTTTCTGAAAAATTTGTAAGCAGGACATATTTGTAGTTGCCAGGAGCAGTTGTAATTATGGGAACAATGTGAGCTTGTAGGAATGCTTCCAGATAGGTGTGGAAATATTCAGGCAAGGTGTGTTGCCGTGAAAGCTGGAGCTAGTCAGTGTGACTATAAAAATAAAGAAGAGGGGGGCCGGGGATTTAGCTCAGTGGTTCCAGCACCTGCCTTGCAAACGCAAGGTCCCAAGTTCGATCCCAGGTACCAAAAAAAAAAAAAAAGAAACTTAGAAGAAAAAGTTGACCCCTGGCCAAGGAAAGGAAGAATAGCCCATGAAGGTGGTACCCATATGCGTGGGAGTTCACTGTGGAGCCTAGGAAGGGCTGTACCAAGGCCCATTGTGGAGGATCCTCTATTGTTTCTAGCCATAGCTGAGCAGCTTCTAGAGTTCTTCAGGTAGTTGGCAGTTCACACCATCTTTTGGGGCAATAACAGATGAAGAGGAACATTATCCATTATTAATGTGGAGCTGGAGAATGTTTTGTGTTTTGCTTTTTTTAGTCCTCTCTTTGTGACGTGGAAGACAGGGCGGGACAAGCGGCTTCGTGGCTGCATTGGGACCTTCTCAGCCATGAATCTTCATTCAGGACTCAGGGAATACACGTTAACCAGGTAATGAACCCAGATGTTAAGAACTGCATGTACATAAACTCACTAGACATGGAATACCTGCCTGACCTCATTGCTAAGCAGTACATTCAGAGCATTCCCTTTGTGGTAATCAGGAAATGTGAGCACTTTAATCTGGTGAGTCACTTATCAGTGCTTATCTAGACATTTAATGGAATCACTGTTGGTGTCATGTGGTGTTGGTGATTGACAGATGCTTTTTGCGTATCTCAGGATTCAGAGCTATACAGGCTCTCTCTGTGGCATGGGATGTTGGCTCCTGACCCCGGAGCAGCCTCATTTATGTTTTCTGTCCCCCTCCAGTGCACTTAAGGACAGCCGATTTCCCCCCTTGACCCGAGAGGAGCTGCCTAAACTTTTCTGCTCTGTTTCCCTCCTTACTAACTTTGAGGATGCCAGTGATTACCTGGACTGGGAGGTGAGAGCAGCTGCATTTGGACTCTGCGTCTCATTGCGTTTGGGTTCGGGTTAGTACATGGCAATGTGTCTCCTCACTGAGAGAGGGCCTGAGGTGTGGGAACTGGGTGCCATTGTAACAGAAGGTACTGGCCTATTAGCAGTAGGAGGAAATGCAGAAGCTTTGTTTTCCCATTTCTTCCCGGTCCCCTGTATATCTAATAAGAAATAATGAAATGACATAAAATATTCCAGATCCCTCTTGGCAAGCCCTGAAGGACAAGTTTTTATTAGGAATCAGATGTCAAGAATCATGAACTCAAAAATCTTGTGATATTTGTATGCTTATTTATGAAATAGGTTAAAGGTAAAATATTCAAAATTATTGGGTAAACTATTTAAAAATTTATTTATTTATATATTTATTTGGTACCGGGGATCGAACTCAGGACCTTGCGCTTGCTGGTGCCACTGAGCTAAATCCCCTACCCTAAAATTTTATTTCTACAGCCTTAATATTCTTGAGGTAACTACACATATACTCAACCTTTTCCCTTTATCCCTGAAAGTCATGGAAAGCAGGAAGTTCTGCTCTTTTCAGACATAGGTCAAGCTGGTCAGGGGACAGGGATGATTTCTATGTGGGTGACTGCAGTTCCATTCGAATAAGTAAATGCCATTTGTTTGGTTGTGTCTTTCTATAGGTAGGGGTCCATGGGATTCGAATTGAATTTATCAATGAAAAAGGCGTCAAACGCACAGCCACGTATTTACCTGAGGTTGCTAAGGAACAAGGTGAGTTGGACAAATGGACGTTTAGTGAAAGTACCATTCATAGCCATGCCATTTAAAGGGCACAGGAGTGAAGTGTGTCATCTTTCAGCTGAGCTTCTACTACAAATGCTTTCTTTTTCCTTAAGACTTTTTTTTTTAGTTAGGGTCTCATTATGTAGTGAACTCACAGCCATCCTCATGCCTACTGAGTGCTGGGATTGGAAGCATGCCACCACCACACACCCAGCATTAATACTAAAATCTTTTTTTTTTTTTTTTGGTACCAGGGATCGAACTCTGGTCCTTGCACTTGCGCAGCAGGTGGCGAAACCACTGAGCTAAATCCCCAGCCCATTAATACTAAATTCTTACACCACCAGGAGAAACTCCCAAGAAGACCTAGAAGCTGGGAAAAAAGAAAGAGAAAATACTTTCTTTACTTTCCCACTAGTAATAGTTTTATTTCTTGCCCACGTAAGCTACAGTGATAGTCATAGCAAAATTCCAACAATCATTATAGAGTTCATTATAAAGAGAAGTTGCTTTTATCAGTAGGTGTTGAACTTATGATCATGAATCATTAAATGTGTTACACTTGGCAAAGGTCAAAACATACTTCCCCATTTTTTTTTTTTTTGGTACCAGGGATAGAACGCAGGACCTTGTGCTTATGAGGCAGGCGCCAGAACCACTGAGCTAAATGCCCGGCCCCTTCCCCCTGTTTTTAAAGAACTCAGTACTTAATGAATTCTTATAATGGTCACATTAGAGATAGGAAGTGGGTCAGGCAGCTTTTCTCTAAAAGAATATCCAGAAGAATATCTTTAAATGTTTCTTGTGTTTTCTGTGATATGTACCCCAGTTTTCTTTCTTTTTGGAGTTAGTCTGTTTTTTTTTTTTTGTACCAGGGATCGAACTCAGGTCCTTGCACTTTCGAGGCAAGCGACAGAACCACTGAGCTAAATCCCCACCCAGTCTGTTTTTGAAAATAGTATGTGAAATAGTATTGATTGAATGTGAACCTGGAATCAAGAAAAATATCCCATTAAGTCTATTAATGAATGAATTATATGGAAAGTGATTGCCTTGTTAGTTTTCATTGTGGTTGTGTTTCAACTGTTTTAAAAGCATTGAGGATGTGGCATAAAAAAGCCTTGTTACACATTGTGGCACATGCCAGTAGTCCCAACATTCTAGGAGGCTGAGGCAGTAGGACCACAGGTTCAAGACTCCTCCCTGGGCAACTTAGCAAGACCTTGTCTCAAAAAATAAAAAGGTCTAGAAATGTAGCTCAGTGCAAAGGCCTTGGGTTCAGTTTCTAGCATAGCAAAAAAAGTAGGGGTGGAAGTGGCATTGAACAGTAGGTATATGAACATTTCTATCCTTCCTAAGGGAAGAGTTTCCTTCTTGCTGTCAGTTCTGTGTCAGAAAACAACTCAGAAATCGTCAAACAAAAAAGGCCACTCAAAAGTTACAGAACTTGAATCTCCCTCTTTCCTAGCTGGGCACAGTTGTGTGTGCTTGTAATCCTGGCTACTTGGAGGATGAGGCAGGCAGGATAAATAAATAAACAGACAAGCAAACAGTCAGTCCCTCTCTCTTTCCATAGACCAGCCCCTGGGTAACAGCACAAGCAATAAGCCAGTCTAACTGGGGACCGTGTTCACCCCTTGCTAATTACATTGGGTAATTCCTGACAGGAAAGACACAGGAGCAGGGAGCCTGGGGACACTGTGCTACATGCTGATCTATCATGTCATTTCTCTGAGTTTCCACTGGGCCGTCAGTGAGGCAGATGGGGCTCCAGGTGCATGAGTTGGTGCCCAGGCCCTCCTTTGCCTCCGAAGACTCGGCCATTTTTTGAATCCCATCTGTGCTGACCTAGTGTGGCTTCTCTTCTTCTCAGACTGGGATCAGATCCAGACAATAGACTCCTTACTCAGGAAAGGTGGCTTTAAGGCTCCAATTACCAGTGAATTCAGAAAAACGATCAAACTCACCAGGTAAGCCGCTATTTTGTTTTCCTTGTTATTTTCATTTAGTGGGGGTTGGATAGAGAATACTTTTGATGGGAATGGGAAGGAAAAAGTTTTCTCAGCTAATGTCCCTAAACCAAAGAAAGATAGGTAAGGTTTAAGTTCTGAGGAAGCAGCATGAACAAAGCCAGATTCCCCCAGCATCCTGTGCATTTCCACAGCTAGGTTGATAGTGGGGTTGGAGCAGGGTTTGGGTCTGCTGAGAGTCAAGTCTGTCTTGCCAGCCCCGTGTGGTTGGGAGGCTGGGGGCTGAAGTCAGGAGAGAAGGCTCCCAGTATCAAAGTCCAGGGCAGTGAGGCACTACCTTCCTGACTACACGTTCGGTCAGGTACAGGAGAGTTAGACGTGCTTCTTACAGAAAGTTAAAAGTATATGTCTCTCCTCTTTGGATACTGTGTTTCTATGGGGAGACTGCCTACTGCCATAGAATGCACACAGGCTTGGGGTCTGAATCCCAGCTCAATCACTGATTAGCTGTGTTACCTGATCTAGTTATTTCACCTCGCTGAGCCTGTTTCCTGTCTGTAATCTGTGAGTGATAATTCCTTAGGGTTGTTGTAGGTTGTGATAAGGTAATGTGGAGAATTTATAGCCCAGGGCCAGGCAACATTGTAGGTGATCAGTAGATGTTAGTTCTCTTCCTATCCCTTCTGAAGTTGGAAGCACTGAGAGGTTTAGCTTCTGTGGACCTCTGTCGGGCCCCTCATCTGTAAAATGCTGAATAATCTAAAAATAGCCTTACAGGTCTGTTTGGAAGACAACCCAGTGTTTTTGAAATGCTTTGGATTCCAAAAATTAAGGGGCTGGGGGTGTAGCTCAGTGGTAGAGCGCATGCTTAGCATGCACAAGGCCCTGGGTTCAATCCCCAGCACCAAAAAAAAAAAAACACTCTTCAAATACAAAGCATTATTATTATTACTATTATTATTACAATTTATTTGAACAGCCATTTCCCTGTCAAAATTCAGGAATAATCACCTTGCAGTGGAGGAGTGATTACAGTGGGAAAGAGATGGCTCTGGGTAAGGATTGTCACACCCAGCTCCTGTGGTCTGTAGTAGGCTCCATAGGTTTGTAACACCCCATGCTTCGCATCCTGACTCATGGCTCTTTCCAGAGCAAAGCCAAAGTGCTATGAATTCTGTTCTGATGACCCTGTGATATGGCATATTCATCTGGGGATTGAGACCTGTCCTATATAACCCAAGGATCCTTTAACCTGCTTCATCAGAATTTGACCCAGAATTAGGTATCTGTGCCCCTTTTAGTTATGATAACTTGTTCGTTGCTCTTCTGCAAATTGAAGTTGCATTTCTGTCAAATTTACCTCATTTTAACCTGAAAGTGGATGTGCAGTTTACACTGGGTTTTGGTGTAGCCATCTTCCAATCTGCCACCCATGTAATTTGACCTTGAAAGTTTCATCCAGACCCCTGTAGCAGATTGCTTATGAGCAGCCTGATGATAAGCATATGTAGCGTTTAAAGGTGGGATGTGCTGAGTACATTCTCAGGGGTGAACTGTGATTGTGCTTTTTCATCTTGTTCATTTGTAATAACAACATTGTTTTCTTGTGCCGTCTTTCATTTTCTGTAAGTAAGATTGCTCTTGGTCTTCCATTTTATTCTTTCAAAATGTGAAATAAGCTTTTGGTTTTCTCTGCTGAGTGACTTCACAATATGAAGTGTTTGGGTTCCTAATACTCTTGCCTGTTTCCTTATACAGGTACAGAAGTGAGAAGGTGACAATCAGTTATGCAGAGTATATTGCTTCTCGACAGCACTGTTTCCAGAATGGCACTCTTCATGCCCCGCCCCTCTACAATCATTACTCCTGACACACGGCTGCATGACCAGTCCCACCCCCCTGTGGCCACCAATGGCTATGACATCATTGGAGCAGATGCCTCCTCTTCCTGGTCCAGTTACTTCTATTACTGCACCATTTTATGATGCTAGCTTCCGTTGCCAAGGCTGCCTCCCACTGACTGAGGGAGTGTGGGGTTACACTGAATGAAGCAGAACTTGAGGGGCCCAAGCCTTATCTCAGCCTTTCCTCAGTATGGGGTTCCATTGGATGGGGCTTCTCCATGACTAGTGAGAATCGCTGTGTGGGTGCTGAAGACCCTGGTCTGGTGATTTGCCACGTGTGGTTGGCCACACACTGGAATTAGAGTTGATGATCCATGGAGGTTTACCCCACACACACTGAGCCTCCCAGATGAAATAGGTGTTCCCCTGGCAGTCTGGGCAACGGAGACCAACAAGAAACATTTTTAGGTTGTTTTAAATTCCTTTTTTTAAACTTCCAGTTTATTGCATACCAAGAGTTGATAACAACCTCCATGCTTCATAAGTGGACGCCATGTTAGGGTTGAGCGTGGGCACCATGAGTCCTCTGAGGCTCTTGGACAGAGACCCACACCAAGACCGGAAGCCCTTCAGATGGCGTTGCAGATCTCATTGCTCAATAAGCTGCGAAGGTTAAAATTCTCACCCCACTCTCAGTTGGATCGTCTGGCACTCTTCCTGCAAGAAAGTCTCCTGGTGTTACATGGAGCTCTGTGGTGTGGCCTGCGGAGGAATGGAGTGGAGATGCCCATGGGAGGTCCTGGTGTCATCGATATTTGAGGTGTGAAAGGAGAGAGCTCTTCCTCACCCCCCGGCTACCTCACTCCTACTGGTAGCAGTGCCTATATAGCTGGATCTGGGTTCTCAGAAGCACAGGTGTGCAAATGGGTGGCTGGGTTGGGCTCATTGTCATAGAGAATCCAGGGTCTCTGAGCTGGTTTTCTTTTCAGGCAAACATCCTGAGGGACCTTTAAGCACGCAAGTTCATTTTTCTAGTTTGCCTAAAGTAGGAAGACTGTTGATGTTTCTGTCCTTTTATAAGACTCTAGAGCAAAGCTGTGTAATTCAACAAGGTGAATCTTTATCTTGCCTACCATGCTGGGAGTTTTAACCCCACCATGGCATATTTCCAAATTGTTCATTTTTCTCTGGGTCACTTAAACTTTAATGTGACATTTCCCTTCTCCTTGTTTGCTGATTTCCAAATAGCTGTCATTTAGTTTTTCTGTCTTGCCTCTTCACTCATTTGGTGGCAAAGTTCATAGAACTAGGGGATTTGGCAGAGGCTTTGAAAGCACTGTCTCAAAAGCACTGCTAGAGTGACTCACAGGAAGAGGTGGCCAGCTGAAGAGAGGATGATCCTGAGAACAATACACTGGTTTTCAACAACATGCTTAGAGAACTCTTGAAGTGGATCAGGTGTCAACCCAGTGAACACGTATTTTCATTTAATTTATTTTTTAGTTTATATGTTGATGATGTGGCTTTCCAAAATGGGCATATATTCAAGTTTAAAGATCCTTTGAGCTTTCTTCTGCCAGGAAGTGAGGAGGCAAAGTGGGACACAATCTAAGAAGGCGTTGCCCTACAGTTTCTGGAAAGGAATCAGTCAGGGAGAGCAGGTTTGTGCTGCTGGCAAGGACCTGGGGTATATGGGAAGACTTGGGTGACATCAGGGTGCCCAAGCTGTGCCCCCTTCATTTCTGTGCTGGGTTGCCATGGCCTGCCATGGTCCCCTTGCAGTGTAGATGAAGGTGAAGGGGTCGTCTCATTATGACCTGCTGCTGAGGATAATGTCCTGTTACAGATGTGACAACAGATAACTCTTAGGTGCCATGGATTGATGTCAGGGTGGTCAGTTCTGGACTAAGCCACCCGCCTCCAATTTGTACAACAGTATTGATACATAGGGCTACACTCATTACTGTTCAAGTGTTCTATGTTAAAAGTTGTGTTTGATTTCTAAAGATTTAAAAAAGCAAAAAAATTGGTGCTAAACTTTCACCCCTGAGCACGCTCAGTGAGACTGGTCATGCAAGCATTTACAATGCCATGCTCCTCAAGCCTATTTTTCTTGTAGAAATGTTGCCCTATTTGTCTTCCCTGATGTATAGTATGTATTTTATTTTATTTTATTTTATTGAGGGTGGGGTAGGATACCTGCCATTTAAGAAAATAAAAAATTTAAACCCCCAAAATGGGGGGGAAAAAATCAGTGCACAAGAATAGGGCTGGTGAAGCCCAGCATCACACTGAAGTAGGCTCAGTGGTTTTGGAGTGAAGAAGCCTTACTCCCTGCACATTCCCTCATGCTCCCAGCAAGTCCAGCAGTGGAGATGTGTGAGCTCCTCTTGTCTTGTCAAGGGGGTTCAGAAGTCAGCCAAGGGAAACTACATGTGCCCTGTCAGAGTCCATCCTGAGCAGGGCGTAGTCAGGAAGCAGTCTGGAAGTGTGTGGTCACAGGGGCCTCATGGAAACGTGGGACTGGTGGCTCTCAGGAAAAATGCTGAGTCTTGGGTCAGCCACACGGCAGCTTTGCATAGGGAGGTGACTGACAGCTCCGAGCAGGAGCAGATCTGCCTTCCACTTGCTTGACCAAAGCAGTAATAAGGGTGGCCGGTACATGCAAACGAGTGGGAAGTGGAGAGAAGGGGTGCTTCCTGCCCACTGTTTCTTCTGTCCTTGGGCCACTGAATAGTAGGTAACCACTGTTGTAAGGAACCAGCCCAACTTCCTGGCTCGGTTCGGAGTTTGTTTCATCCCTAGCTGTGAGTGCCTTTTGGTCTGGAAAGTTGACTTGTCTCATAATACCCACAGCTAGGACATTTTTCCTGTAATTATGAATTGTCCTTGTTTTACTTTAAAAGAGAGTGTCTTTGATCACTAGAGTTTGTCAGTGTTGGATTATTTCCACTGTGAGGTTCTTAAACTTTTTTGCTTCATAATATTGAAACAGTTCATGTTAGATACCCTTTCCACATGAAAGGTTTGTAGTTAAAACATTATATATATTTTACTGTTTATAATAAAAACCATCTATACATGGGGGCTGGGGATTTAGCTCAGTGGTTCCGCCGCCTGCTGCACAAGCACAAGGACCCGAGTTCAATCCCTGGTACAAAAAAAAAAAAAAAACCCATCTATACAAAAGAAGTCCTGGGTGTTAATTTTAATATTTTGCACAAGATCTGTTTTCCATATGTTAACATCTACAATTTCACTAACTGTTGATGTTGTTTTCTATCGAGATTTCTGGAGCCTAGGGATCTACTTGTTTTTGATTATTTTTGTTCTTATTTCCCTGAAGCAAGAGACTGTATGGCCTTCAGTGCAAAGATTTCAGACCAATTCTTTGTATTACACTTGGTTGCCTCTTGGCTATATAACTTCTTGAGTGCAAATCATTGAACTCTTTAATGAAGTATTGTAGAGAATAAATCATAATGGGTAAAAATTGTCTGCATTTTATTCCTTTTTTTTTTGTAACCATGTGACTTGAAGTATCTGGAATAGCAGTTATAGTCATCTAATTTTTGGAGATAGCCAACAGATAGTAAGTAGTCAGCCTGTGTATTTTGTATGGTGCTCATGATACTTTATGTTAAACTGGTAACAGATAACTACTTAGCCAAAAGGCTGAGAAGCAATCATGATCCTTTATAAGTGGGCTTTTTGTCTTGTTTTTGTATTTGGTGGCAATACCATTGGTTTTTTTTAAGAGTCAAATTTCCTGAGCTGTCATTCATGAACACCTTCCAGAAAGAAGGCTCATTGTTTTCATTAGATTTACGAATTAAACTGGCCTTGTCAGAAAAGCTAGGGGCCAGGGATTTAGCTCAGTGGTTCTGCTGCCTGCCTCGTAAGCGAAAGGTCCCAAGTTCAATCCCTGGTACCAAGAAAAAAGAAAAGCTGAAAACTCTTGAAGGAAAAAAAAAAAGATAATCTTTGGTGATACAGATTCAAGAGAAACTTGGGACGTACTACCATGCTCCGAAGTTTACTGTTTTGGGATGACCTAAAAAGAATACACTAGAGTTGAAGAAAATGGCAAAACTCAAACATACAGGTACAGGTACATCTGTCAGGGTTACATAATTTTGGAAATAGATGACAAGCAGTTGGCTAAACTTTTTTTTTTTTAGCTGGTGAAACATTTATCTAATGTTACTGTGTGTGAAGAATTCAGTCGTGGCCAGGTGTGGTGGCACATGCAGGAGGCTGAGGTAAGGAGGATCACTAGGAGTTTGAGGCCTCCCTGGGCTACAAAGTGAGTTTAAGGCCAGTCTGAATTACAGTGAGACTTTGACTCAAAACAAAAATAATTCAGGTGTGTATGTGTGTTGCTGGGGTCTAAAAGGCCTTATGTATGCTTGCGAAGCACTATACCACTGAGCTACATCCTCATTCTGAAGTTATATTCCTTTCTATTGTAGTGTAGTACCTATGATTTCCTAACATTGACATGGGGGAGGGGTTAGTGATGATAAAATACAACAAATCTGCCATTTTAGCTCTCCTTTTTGATTATTTGTCTTAGAATGAAGCCTAAAGGCTGGTCTTAAATTCACTATGTAGCCCATGCTGTCCTTGAATTTGAGGTGATCCTCCTGCCTCAGCCTGCTGAATGCTGGGATTACAGGTGTGCGTCACCATGCCCTTTAATGTCTTTGAAATGTGAAATAAGCCAGCTGGGGCAGAGGTCACTAGAGCTGATTCTCACAGGAGTGGAGGTAGGGAGGTGCTCTTAAGGACTATCCATTATACATAGAGGTTTTGTATGCCATGGCAAACTGGAAAATGTGACTCATTTAAAAACCACTGGGGGTCTGCTCAGTGGTAGAGTACTTGCTTAGCAGGTAGAAGGCCCTGGTTCATTCCCCAGTACCATGGAGAAACAAAAAGCTTAAAATTAACTGTTGGAGACACGGAGCAGGAAGCAGGTCTCAAGTGCACCCCAGTCTCCAGCCACAGTATGACCATTTTTTATCCTTCCTGGCTTCCAACAAAGAACCCAGGGGACCGACAACTGGGATCTTCACAGGCTGCAATCTGATGGGCTTGTTAGAAGTCACAGCTAGATGTCCTCCAGAGGCTTGTGCACTCACAGGTGAGGCTTTGGGGGTGATTGGGTCACCAGGGGAACAGGGGCATGATACTCATCTATGGATTAGTCAACTCGTGGGTTTAGAGCTGGGTGTGATGTTGGGAGGTGGAGCCTGGTCAGAGGAGGCAGTCACTGGGGGTGTGGCCTGGAAGGGTCTCACTCCCTCTCTCCTTGATCTCTGTTTCTTGTTTGCCCATGTCCCTCTGCCACGCTCCCCTACCTTGGAGCCAGCAGACATGTACCACCACCTCTACAAACTGTGAGCCAAAATAAACCTTTCCTCCTTGAATTGTGGATGTCAATTGTGTCCCAACAAGAAGTAAAGTACCTAGGAGGCTGAGGCAGGCAAGGCCAGCCTGGGCTACATACTGAGTTAAAGTCTAGCTACACTACATAGCAAGACCCTGTCTCAAAACAAAACAAAAAAAAATGGGCCAGGGATTTAGCTCAGTGGTTCCACTGCCTGCCTCACAAGCGCAAGGATCCAAGTTCGGTCCCCGGTACCAAAAATGACAAGGCCTATGCTCAAATCTTGGTCTTGGCACTTAGGACAACACTGACCATAATACCCTGTTTTGTGTCATCCCCAAGTGGAGATGCTGGAAGTGCAGTGCAGTGGCTAGATGGCTGCAGTTGTCCAAGACTTCATCCAGCACTCTGGAGATAGATGCAGTACAGCGGGACACGTGGCAGGCCTTGTGAGGTGAAAGTGGGCCATGCCCATGAGTGGGGAGGGCTTCTCAGGCAGACATGGGAGGGACACTCAGGAAGTCCCACTGCCACAGGCCAGCCAGGCTTCAGGATGTTGCTCAGGGTAGGGACCTGCCTACTAGATGTGAGGCCCTGAGTTCTATCTCTAGTACCGCAAAACAAAACTCCAGAATTTTCAGGACAGTGGAGTTTGGAGGTCTTCAGATCTAGATTTCAAAGGGCTCTTTGTGAAATCACATAAAACTCCCACAGACACAGACTCCACCCCTTTGTACCCTACAAACTGTTAATAACGAAAGGGAAAGGGCTGCATGTAAGTGATACAGTCTGTTTATTTCTTTGGCTTTCTTTGTAAGATTTACCAGATTTCCAGCAACCAGTGTCAAATATTTTCAGAAATTTGTGAGAGAATACCTTAAACCAGTGGTGGTGAACCTATGGCATGCATGCTACAGTGAGCTGTTTCTATCTTTGAAAGCTCTAAAAGGTTTGCCATCACTGCCTTAAACTGAAAAGATCTGTGTATTACCTAAGTACTATGTGGATAACTGGGAAATATATATCATTCTGTTTTACAGACAGAAACCATCTTTGTCTAGGTAGGAACTAAGTGGCTCAGCCTACAAGGATTCTTAGAGAAGCCAGGTATGGTGGCACCCACCTGTGATCCCAGCACACGAGGCTAAGGCAGGAGGATCGCTGTGAGTTTGAGGCCAGCCTGAACTACATAGACCTTGCCTCAACAAAACAAAACAAAACCCCAAAGTCCATGTAACAGGCTTGATTGCCAGCTGATAGGCTTCGAGAAGATAAGTGTATCATGAGGATTCTAATTTCAGTGGATTAATCCACTGATGGATCCATAACTTCATGGCATTATTGGTCAGTAATGGAAACCTAGAAGGTGGGACCTAGTTGAAGGGAATGGGTCATGGAGGTGAGAACATGGGACTATATCTTGTTCCCTAGCCCCTTCTTCTTTGGCTGGCTCTCTCCTCTCTCCTCTCTCATCTCTCTGCTTCCTGGTTGCCATTAGGTGAGCATTTTTCTTTTTCTTTTTCTTTTGTTTTGTTTTTTGAGACAGAGTCTCGCTGTATAGTTTAGGTTGGTCTTGAACTTACAACAATCCTCCTGCCTCCACCTCCCAAGTGCTAGAACTACAGGTGTGCACTACCACACCCAGCTATTTTTGAGACGCTGGAGGTCAAAACCAGGGCATCATGCATGTTAGGCAAGCAGTGTACCACTGAGCTGCACCACAGCCAGTCCACAGCATTTTCATTCAGAAAGTTGTTATAAATGCTATGTCCAGGGCCCTGGGGTTAAAAATGATAAATAAGGTATAGTCCATCCCCACAAGGAGCTCACCAACAGCGGCTGATACAAGAACTGGCAAATGATATGAGGGATCTCCAAGAAAGTGCTATAGAAAGATAAAGAAGTTGCTATGGTTTGGATATGGTCTAAGTATTTCCCAAAGGTTCAAATGGGTGCTTTAAGAGTTGAGGCCTCAAAAAAAAAAGTCGAGGTCTAGTGGGATGTCATATTAGTCTGCTTTCTGTCACAGGGACAAAATATCTGACGATAACAATTTACAAGAGGAGAGGTCTATTTTGGCTCATAGTTTCAGAGGTTTTAGTCCGTGGTTGGCCAGCTCCATTGCTGTTATGCCAATGGTGAGACAGAAACATCATGACGGATGGGCCTGGCAGAAGAAAACAAGATGCTGTCTCCAAAAAAAGAGGGGAAAAAAATACTGTGCACAAACCAATCTGTGAAACATCACTCTATGCTGTTACTTTTCTTTCTTCTCTCTGTACCTTTGACTCTTCTGCTGTGTGTGTGCAGAAGAAACAAAGTGTTGGGTAGCAAGCTAGTCCTTGGGCCAGCACAGTGCAAGGTCCAGTAGGTAGTACCTGCTATGGAAAGGCCTGTGGGAGCAATACACAAAGACCAAGACCTACACTGAGTTCCAGGCCCACTTTTATTTATTTATCTAGGTTTTTTGAGACAGGGTCTCACTATGTACTTCAGGCTGGCCTTAAACCACCCAGCTCCAGGACGCTTCTGTTCCCCAGCTGCAGTGTAACCACGGACTAGTCCCCAGGACATCCCGCAGGAAATCACTTGAAACAGGAACAGGCTCTGCCAATACAATATAATCTATAATTTAATCCAATAAATTCCTCTAGAAATGCAGACACTGAACAACTAGTTTGTAAACATGATTGTATTTATATGTTGGTGATGTAACTCAGCAGTAGAGTAACTGGTTAGCGTACACGAGGCCCTGGGTTCTATCTTCAGCACCGTCAAAAAAGAAAAAGAAAAAGGCCGATCGTGGTGGAGCAGGCTTATAATCCCAGCATGCAAGAGGCTGAGGCAGGATTGGAAGTTTCAGGCCAGCCTGGGCTACACAGTGAGTTCAAGACTAGCCTGAACTACATAGTGAGACTCTGTCTCAAAAAAAAGAAAAAGAAAAAGAAAAAGATTGTACTTACAAATCAAATAAATACCTGTTCTTGTCTAATACATCAATTTTAAAAATTAAATTAGTAGAGTTTACATTGTTACTAAGTACTGTTGGCTAAGGAGCCAAGCAGTGGCCTTTTTCTTTTCTCTTACTTGTAAAATATTTTTTCTCTGAAGTTGAAAACAGTATCATTTTTCATTTGCTTAATTTTCTACTTGCCTCCAAATGTTCCACACTTGTAGTAAGAGCCTCTCAATATTATTTACTCTTGCCACCTACCCAGCTTTCCATCAAAGCCATTTCTCAGGTCACTCAGCGCATTCCTCATATTACCTAATCCCGCCCTCCTCCTAGAAGGGCCTAGTGATCCATGCCAGGTTGTGTGGCATTTCAAGTGTTTTCTCCGGGGTCAGCCAGCACACGAACCCTCAGCACTTCTGAATCATTCCTTCTGGGCGCGGTGGTGGGGTCCAGTCTCGCCTCCTCCAGCGCCGGCTCCAAAGCAGCCCCGCCCCGGTCCCCGCCCCTGGACCCCGCCCCACACTGCCGCTTCCCTCCAGTACGCAGCTTTCCGCTTCCGCTTCCGGCGGGCTCTGTGGCGCGAGCGGCGCGGCGATGGCGGCGGGCGGTAGTGATCCGCGGGCTGGTGATGTAGAAGAGGACGCCTCGCAGCTCATCTTTCCCAAAGGTCGGGCCCGGGGCTGCGCGATTTTCCCCGCCAGTGCTTGGTCGCCTCAGGCCTGGAGTCTCCCTTGCCTCGTTCAGGGGCTGGCAGCGGCAGGCAGGCGAGGCTGGTCTCTGGTTCACCGAGCCAAGAAGGCCAGCCGGGCACAGGCGGGCTTTGGCTTAGAGCCTTGGAGTGAGTTTAAGGCCAGAGTGAACTATGTAGTGAGACCCAGTCTCAAAAAAATTAAAAAGATACGCCTGCCTGGCAGGTGCAAGGTCCTGAGTTCAATTCCTGGCACTGGGGAAAAAAAGAAATGTATGGATGGAGCCAGGCAAGGTGGCACAAGCCTGTGATTCCAAGTACTTGGGCTGCTAAGGTAGGAGAATCAAAAGTTCCTGGCCAGCTTGAGCAGTGTAGCAAGACCCTGTCTCAAAATAAAATTTTAAAATGGACTGGATAACCAGGTGTAATTCCAGCACTCCTGGAGGCTGGGCAGGTGGATCAAATTCTAGCCCAGCCTGGGTAATTTAACAACTTCAAAAGACCGTCACAAAATAGAAAATAAAGGGCTGGGTTGTAACTCAGTCCAAAGACTTAAGATTAAATCCTCAGTACTGCAAAAAAAACGAGTGGAAAAAAAATGAAAAACAAAAAAAAAAGGAGTGGGAATGGACTGGGGATGAATGTAGTTAAGTCGTTTGCCTAGTGTAGATGTTTATGTTTTCATATATATGCAGAAACATGTTACATATTTTATTTTATTTTTTTGTTTTGGTTTGGTTTTTTTGGTACTGGGGATCGAACTCGGGTCCTTGCGCTTGCACAGCAGGTGGCAAACCACTGAGCTAAATCCCCAGCCCCATGTGACATATTTTATGTATATGGCTGTATAGAAATAACAATAAGTATTGAAAAAAAGGAAAGCTTTTGCTGTGGTATGAAAAGTAAACAAGTGTGTGATATTTCCTTGTGGGACTGAAAGAATAGATGAAATGACTATTCTGAGTGCCTTTTTTTTTTAATCTTTAATAGTTGACTTTACAAAAATTACTACATGAAAATGTGTAATCTAAAAGTAGACATTAAATACATCTTCATTAATTTCTAAAACATAAATTCAACATGAAGGAACTTTTCTAAATAAATATACAAGTAGATGTAGCATATATATTCCAAAATAACATGATCACATGACATTTTAAAGTAAAACAACTCAGGGAATCCTCCAGTTTAGCATTTACACATTTTATTCTATGAGCCAGTGTAATTTTGAAAGTTGGTAATATATTTGTTTTGTGTAGAATGAAAGGATATGGGTTTAAATACCTTGTTTTTAATACCTTTTAATATAGCACTATTAAAATCTGAACCCAGATTCAATTAGGGAAATATAAATTTCCTGTACTAGTTTATTTTGGGGAATGATTTTGGCTAACGTGCTTTCTTCCATTTTGTGAACGTCCTCTTCTGTATTGTTTCTCAGCCCATGACTCAGGATTTAAGAGATTTCATTATTGACTACATTTTATTTATTTATTTATTTAGGTACTGGGGATCGAACTTGGGACCTTGCGCTTGCGGAACAGGCAGTGGAACCACTGACCTAAATCCCTGGCCCACCCTACTACATTTTAAATAGCAGTGTCAGTGTCTACACAGTTTTGACTTGGTAGAGAGCAGTGGAGAGAAAAGAGGAGAGCTGAGAACAACCACCCATTGAATTAACAATGACCACAGTGAGCATAAGCTAGTGTGGAACTTTACCAGGTTATTATTATTTTACACATCAGTTTGTTTTGTTTTGTTTTGTCTTTTGGTACTGGGGATCAAACTTGGGACCTTGTGCTTTCGAGCCAGGCGGCAGAACCACTGAGCTAAATACTCAGCCCTACACGTCGGTTTTATCAAACTGGAATAATGGGAAGAGTACCACTGGGAATTATGAATTATGACAGTAGGTATGTGAGCAGTCAAAGTTGTTGAAAATTGGCTTATTCAATTTAGAAATAGAGTTTGGACCAGATTTTTTAAATCATTAAAATCCCATTCAGGTGTGTAGTTAGATTACACTAAGGAATATGTAACTTTGGATGCCTAACTACTGTCACGTACCGCTTTGATGACAGTAATATGAATTTTTTTGGGGGGGGTACTGGGATCGAACTTAGGACCTTTCGCTTTTGAGGCAGGCAACAGAATCACTGAGCTAAATCCCAGGGCCCAGTAATAATTAGTTTTGATAAAGTTTAAACCAAAAATGGACTAACATTTTCAAAGTGTGATGCAAATACAAACCTCTGGAATATTGTTATTTTCTTTAAGAAAACCTTAACTTCTTTCTGATCTAAAGTGCTATATTCTTTTCATTTATGTAACATTACCATTTTCTTGGTTATAACTTCAATTTCATGTAAAAGTTTCTTTTTTTTTTTTTTTTTTTTGAGACAGTGTCTTACTGTGTATTCCAGGCTGGCCTTCAACTGAGTATTTAATTCAGGCTGGCCTTGGACTTGTGACGATCCTCCTGCCTCAGCCTTCCAATGCTGGCATTACAGGTGTATGCCACCATGCTGGCTAGTGATGTGATAGTTTTCATGAGCACATTTGCCCAGATCTAAAAACTGTCCTCGGGCCAGGGATTTAGCTCAGTGGTTCTGCCGCCTGCCTCAAAAGCACAAGGACCCGAGTTCGATCCCCAGTACCAAAAATAAAAAATAAAAATAAACACTGTCCTCAATCTGTGCACAACCTATTGGGGACCCCTCCTATGTCTCAGGAGCTATTCCTATTCCCCATTAAAATTTCCTACTCTTAAAAAAAAAAAATTAACAGCAACATATTGAAGAAATTAAGAAGTAAGTCATTTTTTCCAAAAAAAGATCATCTAAAAAAATAAGCAAAAAACCAAAAAGGATCATCTGATAGTCACTCCTTCGTCTACCTAAAGGTATCCCCTAGAGAGCAACATGTGCAGCCAGAAACACTGTCCCCGACCAGGTGCATACCTGTAATCCCAGCAAGCTGAGGGGGAGGACTGCAGATTTGAGGCTAGGCTGGCGATTGATTTAGCAAGATCCTAACTCAGAATAAATACAAAAGATGGTATATAGTTCAGGCTTGCCTATCATGTATGAGGTCCTGGGTTCAGTCCTCAGTGCTGCAGGGGGAAAATCTGAAAATGCCACACTTACCATAAATTCTTACCAGTGGTCATAGTGAAAGGTCCTCATTACAGAAAACTCTCAGGTGAGGTACTGGCCAAAGAATTCTTTTTTCTTTAAGAACAGGGACTGATGGGCCGGGGATTTAGCTCAGTGGTTCCACCACCTTCCACACAAGCACAAGGTCCTGAGTTCAATCCCTGGTAACAACAAAAAAAAAAAGAACAGGGACTGGGCCAGGGATTTAGCTCAGTGGTTCAGCCCCCTGCCTCACAAGTGGAGGGACCTGAGTTCGATCCCTGGTACCAAAAAAACCAAAAAGAACAGGGACTAATATATTCTGCCCATTTTAAAAAAATATCGGCCCAAGGGAAAGTAACATAGATGGCCTGGATCTGTTCCCCAAATAAGTGTGTGTGTGTGTGTGTGTGTGTGTGTTTGTGAGAGAGAAGAGAGGGAGAGAGAGACTTCAACTAGAAAGTGCTGGGCAGCTGTCTTTTTGGGACAGGGACAGTTGTTTTAGGTGCCCTCCTCCACCATTAAACTGCTGGCACTATTCTTTCTTCCCCTGTTTGTTACTGCCAAATCCTGGAGATGCCTCCCAGAGGCTCTGGATTGGTCTTGGGCAACTCTTACTTCAGACCTTCATCATGGTCAGGAGTTCTCACCTTTTCTTGGATGAAGGGAGTGAGGTTGATGTGTTAAGTGTAATTGGATAGTGCCCTTCATGAGTAATAGGGATGGTGACTAGTTTGGTGCCCTGAAAATTCCTTCTCATTACATTTAATAGTCAGGGTCTGGGAATGCAGATCAGTGGCAGAGCACTTACCTAGCATGCATGGTCTGGCACCATAAAACAAACACTTACCACTAAATTTGGTTTAGTGCGGAAAGGGAGGCATTTCTGACTTCTAACTTGGAGCAGTTTTGCGGAGCCAGAGAAACATGGATAACTAACTGTACACACTTGGTGGTAGGTTTTTTGTTTGTTTTGTTTTTGGTACCTGGAATGGAACTCATGACCTTGACCTTGTGCGTTCAAGGCAGGCAGTGGCACCACTAAGCTAAATCCCCTGCCCTTTTTGGTTTTTTGTGGGTTTTTTTGGTTTTGGTTTTGTTTTTGAGGTACTAGGGATTGAACCAAGGGCCTTCCCATGAGCTACATCCCCAGGCTTTTTTTTTTTTTTTTTAATTTTGAGACAAGATCTCACTAAGTTGCCAAGTTGCCCAGGCTGGGCTTTAACTTGTCATCTTCCTCCCTCAGCCTCTCAGAGTTCTGGAAATACAGTCATGCACTACTATGATGATTCTTATTAGTAGTTTAGCCTCTTAATTCCCATTTTTTTCCTTTTTTTTTTTTTGGTACTGGAGATCAAACTCTGATCCTTGGGCTTTCGAGGCAAGTGGTGGAACCACTTAGCTAAATCCCTAGCACTCCCCCTTTGTTTTTCTTTTGAAATGGTCTCAGTAGGTAGTTCAGGCTGGTCTGGCAGTGATCCTCCAGCCTCACACTCCTGAGTGCTGGGATTACAGGTGTGTGTCACCACACCTGGCCTTAATTCCCAGTTTTAGGTTTGGTTTTTTTTCCCCTCGGTACCAGGATCTAACTCAGGATCTTGCGCTTGCCAGACAGGCACTGCGCCACTGAGCTACATCTCCTACCCTAATTTCCAGTTTTTAAGGCTCTATTTCATGGTTCAGCTTCAGAAACAAATTGACTAGCTAATTAGCTGCTGTCTCTTTCTGAGGGAAGGAGATTATGTCACTTGTTACTCATAGAGTTTTGAGGTCATGAAGTCCTGGTATTTGCTGCTTTCTCCTCCATGAGTCGCTCTGAGGCAGCAGTTTCTTTCTTTTTTTTTTTTTAAAGGCAGCAGTTTCTTCACCTATCTTTACACCACCCTAAAAAGGTGGAGATGAAAGGTAAAACTTTGGCATGCAATTGGCACTGAAGGTGGTGTGGTGCCTGCTATAGGATACTGGACTGGAAAAGATGATGTTCTGAGGTTCTTTTTTCTTGTTATTGGTTTGTTTTATTTTCTGAGACGGGGTCTTGCTTTGTAGTTCAGGCTGGCCCTGAACTGACTATGTAGCACAGGCTGGCCTTGAACTCATGGCCATCCTCCTGCCTCTGCCTCCCAAGTGCTGCCTCTGCCTCCCAAGTGCTGGAATTACAGGTGTGTGCCACCACACCTGGCTTGTTTTGTTTGGTTTTGATTTTGGGTTTTTTTGAGACAGGTTCTCACTGTATAGTTTAGGCTGGCCTTGAAGTCATTATGTAGCACAGGCTGACCTCGAACTCACAGTGATCCTCCTGCCTCAGTCTCCTGATGAGGTGGTTCTTGTCCAATCTCGGTTGCACTCAGATGAAAAATAGCTTTTTTTTTTTTGGTACCAGGGATTGAACTCGGGTCCTTGCACTTACAAGGCAGGTGGCGGAACCACTGAGCTAAATCCCCAGCCCCTGAAAAATAGCTTTGGATTGCCTATTCAATTGGATTAAAAATCTTTCAAATTTTGCTGCCTGCTTTGCAAGCACAAGGTCCCAAGTTTGATCTCTGGTACCCCCCCCCAAAAAAAAACCTTTCAAATAAAAATATACCCTCCTGGGCTGGGTATGTAGCTCAGTGGCACCACACCAGCCTGACAACCGCAAGGTCCTGAGTTTGATCTCTGGTACTGTGGTGTGGGGGGGAGAAAAAAGAAAAATATTTCCTCCTGACCTCCCACACAGACTGCCTGTGTTGTAACAGGACAGTGAGTTTTATTGTCAACTGGCTCAAAAAGTCAGGGCAGTACTCAGATGCAGGTGTTAGTGATTTCCCAATTGTAGGCACCCCCATAGCACATGTAAATGCCAAATTGCAAGTAATTTTGGATTTTCTTCATTATGGCTACTTTTTCAGTGTGGGATTATAAACATGAATCCATGTTTGCAAATGATTCCTATTATGAAGGAGATCGAATGAAAAGGGAAGGCAGATTAAAAGCCAACTATAATTAATACTTTGAGATAAGTATGTATTAGGAACATATAGGAGACTATAGAAACAGAAGGAAGACAATTACTTTCCCAAAGGAATATTACCGTTTTAAACATTTCTGAAAATATGGAGGAAAGTTGCTGTATATTATAGACAGGAACTACAGGTTTCTTTCTCTGACCAACTTTTCTTTGGAGGGGGTAGTACTGGAGAACTTGCAATCTTCCTGCCTCAGCCTTCCAGAGCGCTAGGATTACAGACATGCACCACCATGCCCAGCTAACGATTCTTAAAATTAATATAATGCTAGCATTATGGAAGTATAAATGAAGTGGGAGAAAAGGTGGGATACCCACAGAGAGCACTCAAACACGAAGTAGGAGCAAACCGGCTTTAATTGCTGTTGGCTCAGCAAGGGATTCCTATCGCCCAGAAAGCATCAAATGTTCACTTTCATTTTTGTACCTCTGTGTTTCTAGGAGGCTTCCTTTTGTTGGAAGGGAAACAGCAGGTGAGAGTTACACAACCAGACCAGTGGTTAGGGGGAGTGGCAAGTTCTGACAGGACTTTCTAAGACCATTATGCTCTGGTGAATTTACAGCATAGCTGTAGTCATGACTACTGAGTGCCATTTCACAATGGGAGGGTTGGACCGGGAATTTAGCTCAGTGGTTCCCGAGCCTGCCTTGAAAGCACAAGGTCCTGGGTTCAATCCCCTGTACCAAAAAAAAAAAGAAACACAATGGGGGGGTTGGTTTCCCCTCTCATGAGGAATATGAGTTCAGCCAGGAATAATAGTGCACACCTGTAATCCCAGCATTCTGGAAAACTGGGGCAGGAAGATCACAAGTTTAGCCCCAGCCTGGACAAGTGAGTAAGGCTCTGTCTTAACAAATAAAAGAAGGCCCAGGCATGTAGCTTTGTGAGAAAGCCCTGGATTCAGCCTTCCTTCCAAAAAAAAAATGATCATGGGTTTCTACAGGCTAGAGGGAAGTCATTGTTGATGTGCTCTGATTTGAAATCAGAAACTAGCCTAATTAGGATAATCATGTGTCATTTAACAGCATGCCCATGTAAAGTTCATTGGTGTCAGAAATGAGGTAAATGTTAGCACTTCGAAAGCTCTGCAGTTTCGGGGGGCAGGGGGGACACGGTGTGAATGGAATGAAGACAGGGAAGTGTTCAGACGTAAACGTTAAACAGCAGGCTTGTGAAGACCTGTTTTCAGCTGACATTTTGCTTCTGACTACAGAGTTTGAAACAGCTGAAACACTTCTAAATTCAGAAGTTCATATGCTCCTGGAGCATCGGAAGCAACAGAATGAGAGTGCAGAGGATGAGCAGGAGCTCTCAGGGGTCTTCATGAAAACTTTGAACTATACAGCTCGATTCAGTCGTTTCAAAAACAGAGAGACCATTGCAAGTGTCCGTAGGTGAGTGCTCAAGGAGAGTTTGTATTAGTCCAGACTGCTGGGTATCTGTAAGCAGACCCTGTACCTTTCCCTCTTTTCTAGGCGTCATCTCTTCATTTAGTGTAAATAGTGTCTTTGTCAAAAATTTAAAAATTGGCCTTGGGTATAACACGCTCAGTGATACAGTACTTGCCTAGCATGTGAGAGATCCTGGGTTTGATCCCCCAAACCCCTCAAAAATTATTTAAAATGGTTTATAAGGCTGTGTGTAGTGGCACATGCTTATAATACCAACTACTTGGGAGGCTGAGGCAAGATCACAAGTTTGAGGCCAGGCTAGACAACTTAGCAAGATACAATATGAAATTAGAAAAGGGCTTGGGATGTAGCTCAGTGGTAGCTCTTGCCTAAAGTATGCAAGGCCCTGGGTTCAATCCCAAGAAGTAGATGGGTGAGCAGTACACACCTGTAATCCCAGCACTCAGGAGGCTCATGCAAGAAGATCACTGCATTTGAGACCAGCCTGAACTACATAGTGAGACTGTCTCAAAAACAACCCATAGGGACAAAAACCAAGGTGTATTATGTGCATGTATCATCTCCCCACTTACTGCAATACATACATACGTACATACATGCATACAGTCAAATAAAATAATAAGCATGCAAATGGCCACTTTATTTTTTGTCTTGTTTTGTGTTTGGGTTCTAGGATTGAATCTCAAGCCTCCAGTATGCTCAGTACATAAATAATATATCACTGAACTCTTGTGAGCTCTTCTCTGCTCTTTTTTTCTCTTTCTGTGGTACTGAGCTGGGGGTTAAACCCAGGACCTCTCCTGTGCTAGGCAAGCACTCTACTTTGTATACCTGTCAACCCTTTTTTGTCTTGCTGGGTATCAAAGACAGGGTAAGTACTGAGCTGGATTCCCAGCCTTCGGAGAGCTATTTATAATAGCCAAAGATAACACAATCTAAACCAGTGGTGGTGGACCTATGGCACATATGCCGCAGCTGGCTGTTATCATTGAAAGCTCTAAAAGTTTTGCCATCACTGATCTAAACATTTACCAGTAATTAATTATGATGATTCCATTTGGTGAATTATTATATTATAATAATTAAAAATAGGCCAGGTCAGGTGGTACCCACGTTTAATCCCAGCTATTTGGGAGGCTGAGGTAGGAGGATCACAAGTTTGAACTCAGCCTGGGCAACTGAGAACTTGTCTCAAAATAAAAGAAAAGGGGTTGGGAATACAGTTTAGTGGTAGTATGCCCACTTAGCATGTATAAAACCCTAGGTTCAATATCTAGTATGAGAGCCAGGTGCGGTGGCATTAACTAATCCCAACACTCCAGAGGCTGAGGTAGGAAGATTGCCTTGAGTTTGAGGCCATCCTAAGCTACATAGTTCAGTGCCAGATTGAAGTGCATTGTGAGACCCTGTTCAAAAAACAAAAATAAAATATCCAGTACCGCCATAAACAAACAAATAAATAAATAAATAATGGAACTAGGGCTGTGGGTCATTGATAGAATTTGTATTTTTCATGTGGTTTTGATCCCTACCACTGCAAAATAAAACGAAGGGCTGAGGATTTAGCTCTGTTTCCGCCACCTGCCTTGCAAGTGCAAAGACGTAAGTTCGATCCCTGGTACCAAAAAATAAAAAATTAAAAAATAAAAAGAAAATGTTTGGAATGATATAGTGAGATGGTAACTTCAATTTTGTTTAGGTAATGATATGAGTAACTTTTATTTTTCTGTATTTTCTAAATTTTGTACAGTGGCTAATACAATGCTTGTGCTAAATACAATGTTTTCTCTTTGTCCTTTTTACTTTTTTTTTTTTTTGGTACCAGTGATCAAACTCGGGTCCTGCCACTTGCAAGGCAGACAGCAGAACCACTGAGCTAAATCCCCGGCCCACTCCTTTTTTACTTTTTAAAATTTATAAATTTAATGACCAGGGATTTAGCGCAGTGGTGCCACCACCTGCCTCGAAAGTGCAAGGTCTCGAGTTTGATCCCCAGTACCAAAAACAAAACAAAACAAAAAAATCTAAATTTAAAACAACAAAAAAATGAATTTTTATTTTGTTTTATTTTTTTCACTACTAGGGATTGGATCTTGGTTCTTCACACTGAGATACATCCCCAGCCCTTTTATTTTTTATTTTGAGACAGGATCTTGGTAAGTGGCTAAGTTGCCCAAGCTGGGGTCGAACTTGCAATGTTCCTGCCTCAGCCTCCCAGAGAGTTGAGTCTAACAGGCGTGTACCACTGTGCATGGCTCAATGTTTTTGGTTTTTGTTTTGTTTTTAGTACTGGAGATCGAACTCGGGACCTTGCGCTTTCAAGGCAGGTGCTGGAATCACTGAGCTAAATCCCCGGCCTTGTTTATGTTTTTGAGACAAGGTCTTAGTATATTACCCAGACTGATCCTGATCTGCAGAGCTTAGTGAGTTGTCCCACCTCAGCCTTCCAGGTAGTTTAAGTCTATAGGTATGTTTTGAAAACAGGTGGGTTTTTTTGGTACCAGGGGACCTTGCACTTGTGAGGCAGGTGGTGGCAGGTTTTTTTGTTTCTTTTTGAGACAGGATTTCACTGTGTAGTCCAGCCTGGCCTACAACTCCAGAGCTCCTGCTCCAGCCACATGTTGGGATTTCAGGCATGTGCTGCTACTAGATATTCTTAATAGGTCATCTCTGAAGCTAAGTTTATCATAGATGGGCTCTGTTACAAGAAGTAGATGCAGGGCCGGGGATTTAGCTCAGTGGTTCCGCCGCCTGCCTTGCAAGCGGAAGGACCCGAGTTCAATCCCCGGTACCAAAAAAAAAAAAAGAAAGAAGTAGATGCGTGAAAATCAAAGATAGTATTTGTTTCATTTTAGTTTTTGTTTTTTTATGGTACTGGGAATTGAACCCAGGGCCTCAAGCATGCTAGGCAAGTATTCAACTACTAAACTAAATCTCCAGCTTTGGTTTTTAATTTGAGGCAGGGTCTTGCTGAGTTGCCCTGACTGGCCTCAGTCTCTCAAGTACAGTAGCTGGCATTGCAGGTGTATGTACCATGCCTGGCTCTTGTTTTGCTTTGTTCTGGTTTTTTTTTTTTGGTACCAGGGATCAAACTCAGGACCTTGCACTTGGGAGGCAGGCAGCGGAGCCACTGAGCTAAATCCCTGGTCCTTGTTCTGTTTTTTTGAGACCGGGTCATACATATGGACTAGACTGCCCTTGAACTTGCTGTGTAGCCCAGGCTAGTCTCAGACTCACGATCCTTCTGCCTTCTGCCTCAGCCTCCTGTGTGCTGAGATTACAGGCATGTGCCACCACACCAGCTTTTCTTTAAGACTGAACCTTAGGGCCTGGTACATGTTACGCAGATACTCTTTCCAAAATAATATTTGTATTTACAGTGTTCTTTTATACAATTTGAACATTTCTAGTACATTTAAAATGACACAGTTTACATTAGATTTTTACAGGGTAAGGTAAGCTGTAGTCATTTAGTTTTAGATCTTTTTTTTTTTTTCGTAGTAGTAGTAGTAGTTTTAGATCATTTTAAAAGGTAGTTACCTCCATGTCAAAACATCTAATAGATTTGGAACATTTAACACCATGGGTTTGACACAAACATAATAACAAAGGATACAAGGAAGAATGGTTAGAGTAGAGAGCAACACAGTCAATTCGTGAGCAAAGGGTTGTGTGGTCCCTGAGGTGGGTAGTGGTTTTCCCGAGTTTTAACAGCAATTGCTGCTCCATACTGGGGTGGTCTTTGGTTCCCTTGGTCTGCCTGCTTTCTCTGAGCTCCCTGTTTAGGGTAGGAAGTGATTTGACCAAGAGATTCTCCAGCTTTGCATGATAAACTATAAGAGATTACAGATAGTTTTCTTTCTCTCTTCCCTGCTAGCTGCGTTTGATCTCTTTTCAATTGACTTTTGTTGTTAATTTGTTTTTATTTTCTTCTATGACCAGTTTATTGCTCCAGAAAAAGCTGCATAAGTTTGAGTTGGCCTGTTTGGCCAACCTTTGCCCAGAGACTGCTGAGGAGTCCAAGGCTCTTATCCCAAGGTTAGTACCAGTTGTGAAAAGTTCTGTGTGTATTGGATAAATTCCTACAAATAAAATTACTGTGTCTAAAAGGTGTATGCGAGCCAGACGTGGTGACACATACCCTTAATCCCTGCACATGGGAAGCTAAGACAGGAGGATCGCTGCAACTTTGAGGCCAGCCTGGGCTACATAGCGAGACCCTGTCTCATAAATAAATACATACATACAAGGTGTATGCGTTTAAAATTTGGGTAGATGTGATTAACATTGCATGAGTGCCTATCAGTGTATGAAAACGATCTACTCTACCACACTGGTAGCAAGAGTGTGGAACAGCTGAGACTCCTGTACATTGATGGTAGTAGGACAAATTAGTATAGTCACTTTGGAGAGCAGTTTGTGTGTAGTAGAATTCAGGGTTACCTGTATTCCCATGTTCATTGCTGCATTGCTAGTGATAGCAGAAGTCAGGCAGCAGGAGAGTGGATACAATTTTACTATATAGTAATAAAAAAGTTAATGAACCAAGACATCATGGAATAATAGTAACACATGCCAAAAGGAATTTTAAGAGAAAAAATTGCAGAAGTGCACGTATACTGTGGTGACACTTCTTACAAAGTTTAAAAGTAGGGCTAAGTAGGGATCAGAGATTTAGCTCAGTGGTTCCGCTCCCTGCTTCACAAGCTCAAGGTCCCAAGTTCAATCCCTGGTACCAAAAAAAAAAAAAAAAAAGTAGGGCTAAGTATAGCTCAGGAGTAGAGTGGGTGTGGCCCTGGTTCAGTCCCAAGCATCAAAAATAATAAAATGTTACTGATGGTGTAGCTCACTGGTAGAGCCCTTGCTTAGCATGTGTGAGGCTCTAGAGTGTATCTCCAGCACCAAAAAAATAATAATGAAATAAGTAGCTGGCTGTGGTGGCACATTCCTGTAGTCCCACACTCTGGCTGAGGCAGGATTGCAAGTTTGAGCCCTGCTGGGACAATTTGATGAGAACCTGTCTCAAAATAAAAAATAAAATGGGCCAAGGATGTAGCTCAGTTCAAAGGCCCTGGGTTGAATTGCCAGTACTGCAAAAATAAATAAAGTATAAAGACAAATATTAAGAACATAAGCTGTGGGCCGGGGATTTAGCTCGAAAGCGCAAGGTCCCCAGTTCGATCCCTGGTACCAAAAAAAAAAAAGAACATAAGCTGTATAAACCTACAGATACATACAACATAGTTGTATTAAGTAGAAGAGTATCTGTGGAGCCAAGTGTGATGGCACATGCCTGTAACCCCAGTCACTTGAGTGGCCGAGAAAGACAAGTTTGGGGTCAGTCTGGGGAATTCAGCAAGACTGTCTCAAAATAAAAAGGAGAGCTGGTGCTGGAGATGTGCTGGAGTGCTGTCTTTTATGTGTTTAAAATATTTTGTAATGTTTTTATGAGAGAACAAAGGAATAGTACATTTAAAAGGTAAAGGTAGTGGAAATATGGATAAGTGATGCTCAGAGAGGAACACACTTCAAAGAGTACAGAGAACCTGGCTGTGATAGCACATGTTTGTAATCTCTGCACTTAGAGTGAAGCAGCAGGATTACCATGAGTTTGAGGCAAACCTAGGCTACATAGTGAGTTCAAGGCCATCCTGAATTACATAGCAAGACTCAAAAAACAAAAACAAATGGGGTGTAGTGGCACATGCCTGTAATCTTAGCACTCAGGAAGCTAAGGCAAGAGGATTGCCACAAGTTCGAGGCAGCCTGAGCTAAAAATAAACTAAAAACAAAAAGCCAAAAAATGTATGAAAAGACTACTTACTAATCACTGCCTCAATCATGTTTTCTTCTTACAGCCTGGAGGGACGGTTTGAAGACGAGGAGCTGCAGCAGATTCTTGATGACATCCAGACGAAGCGTAGTTTTCAGTATTAATCTGCAAACATCACTCAGCTGCTTGGAGGGGACCACCTTCCCCAGGGCTGGATTTGCCTTGCTCAGGAGAAAGCTGGGCTTCCTTTGGAGGGGACAGTGCATCTTGTGTTGGTGCAGTGTGCTGTTGAGATGTGACAGAGCCCATGTCACTGAATCTTGAGTGGCCTGGCAGTGACTGCCTGTTGCTGCCTAAGTATGCTGCTGAGGTTGGAGGGGTGATATGTAGGCCATGCTGTCGACTACCTCATATTGTGATTTTTGGACTTCACATTTTTTTTATTCCTAATCTTTCATGTTTTAATATTAACGTGTTTGGGGCCGGGGATTTAGCTCAGTGTTGCTGCACCTGCCTCTCAAGTGCAAGGTCCTGAGTTCCATCACTGGTACCTTAAAAAAAAAAATTAATGTGTTTGTAGTTTGTGTGTGTGTGTTTATAATTTTTGAAACTAAAGGACAACATGGGAAACTTCTATGAGGAAAAATAGTCTTATCTAGATACAAAAGAAAAGATTAAACCAGACCAACATTGTTGTGTGGAATTCTTTTTTTTTTGCTGCTACTGGGGATCGAACTCAGGACCTTACACTTGTGAGGCAGGCTAAAATCCTGGGCCCTTTTGTGGAATTCTTAAAGAAAAGACAAGAGTACTGATTGTGAAAATGCTTGGCATCATTGTGCCTAACTAAGCCAGGATAGAGTGCGAGGAAGGATGCCAGCGAGATGCCTATGCCCTATCGTGGGGCCATTAGCCTTGAAGGAAACAGTGTCTTTTTTTTCTTGGGCTGTCTTGCAGAGTGTGGATTTAGAGCGATCTTTAAAGTACTCATTTTGTCATCTCAAATTAAGATTTGAATACTGGGTGAATTGGAGGTGGCTGTAAGATAGATTAAGCCACCTCTTTGAGGGACAAGCGAGAAGGGGAATAGTTGGGATTTTCAGTGGTTGAGAGAGGTTGGAATCCCTATCAAACTATTATATATAGGTGGATTTGTTGGATCTTGGAAGAGATAAATTTTGTGAGTCAATTAAGTAGATAGGGTCTAAACATAAGAGAAAAATTATTTTTTTTTTTGGTACCAGGGATCGAACTCAGGACTTTGTGCTTGCAAGGCAGGCGGTGGAACCACTGAGCTAAAACCCTGGCCTAAAAATTCTTGATAATGAGCCAAAGAAGGGTGGTAGCTAGGAGAGCCAACTATTTGGCCCTTGTTCTCATAATCAGGATTCCTGAGGATGTGGATAGTTTGTTCTAAAACACCTGGTTGGTTGCTATAGTAACAGCATTGTTCTTCCAAAGCCATGCAGAGACCTCTATGCTACAGTCAGCATATCCAGATAGAGCTCTGTAGGGCTGGGGATTTAGCTCTGGTGCCACACCTGCCTCACAAGCACAAGGTCCTGAGTTTGAACCCCCGTACTGCAAGAAAAAAGATACCAGCGCTCTGCAAGGGCCAACAGGGCTAGGAAATCTGTTTCATCTGCTAAGGCCTTTAAGGTGGTAGAGAGCTGGGTAAGGCTTTCAGAGACTGTGGGAGGTGTGTGAGACTATTCTAACCCCATAGTTCTTGTTCCTGTCCCTGTGGTGATCTGTAAGCCTACCAAGAGGAGAATTAGAGTAATCACCTTTTTTGGTCAGACGGGCAGAAAAAGGAATCAGGAGGCTGGTTGTCAGGAGCAATTTGTTTATTGGGACTAAATAAACTATAGTGTAAACACCTGTCCAGTTGGAAGGAGGAAGGCTGAGAGTGCTTGATTTCTGAAGACACACCTAGGGTGGAAAGAGAAGTTGCCAGACCAAGATTGAAAAAGATGTAAATGGCCTGGGGATTTAGCTCAGTGGTTCTGCTGCCTGCCTTGCAAGTGGAAGGTCCCAGGTTCAATCCCCAGTACCAAAAAAAAAAAAATTGTTTATCAGTTGTGAAAGTGTTGGTGGCTCCCCTGAAGAAATAACTGAATTGTAAATGCCATTCCTATAAATGGTTGAAAAGAGGAAGATTATGGTTAAGATGTGCTATATAGGTCTTGTTTTCTTGAAATAAGTATTGTCTCTGACTAGGAAAAACGATGTGTCCTGTGGCTGACAAGAAAGTGATGTATTAGCAATGAGAGGTTGGGGTAGAGCTAGCAGCACTTTTGTAGGGGCTAAGATCAGGGGCTTGGGAAGGAGATGGTCTTCCATGACTGAAGCCACAATTCTTATGTGTGGGTAGGTCTGTTGAAGTATGAAACACAGATTCAGATTGGTGTAGAGAAACTTGTGCTGGGGCCGGGAATTTAATTTAGCTCAGTGGTTCTGCCCCCTGCCCTGAAGTGAAAGGAACTGGGTTCAATCCCTGGTACCAAAACAAAAAGGTTACAGAAAAATGAGATTACCCATAGGGTGGAAGTATTGGGATGATCTGTGGTCTGTATGCAGGTTGTAACTTGAGTGACAAGACATCTGGAAATACTGGTCCAGAAATGTAGTTGTCAGAAATGGTTTTAGTTTGCCTATGGAGATTTGCATAAGAGAATTGGAAGGAAAACTAAGGGCTGGAAGGTGAAGTTTTCATTGGAAATGAGGGGGTAGCTGAGTGTGATGGTGCACGCCTGTAATCTCAGCACTCAGGAGGCAGGCAGGAGGATTGCCTGAGATTTAAAGGCTAGCCTGGGCTATGTAGTGAGTTCAAGGCCAGTCTGAACTACATAGCAAGACCTTGCCTAAAAAAAAAAAAATAGAAAAGAAAAACAAAAGGAAATGAGGATATAAAGATGCATGCCTTTAGGAGAGTTCAGTCAGAAAGAACTGCAGGATATGCCTGGGTGATCCAGGTGGGAGAAAGAGGTAGGTCCAGCAACCTCATGCTAGGGATTGATTAGTGAACTTTAAGAAGAGTGTGGAGCTCTTTCAAGTAGAAAGAGGTAAGGAACAGTCTTAGGTCTGATAGCAGGCTGGATACTAAGCATAGGTAATAACATTAAGGGAAAGGGTCTATAAGCAGGGAAAGAATACAATAAGGGTCTCATTAGGCTTTCTGGCTAATCTTGACCAGAGTTAAAGCTTTATTGGAAGGAACAATTAGAAAGACCAGAGGGAGAGGTGATGGAGAACACAAGGAAGCCAGACACACTTCAAGACAAGATAGCCGCCCCTCCCTACCTCCAGTGAAATGCATAGAAGATAAAAGGGGGAGGGGGCTACCTAACCTGAAAGAAAACTCATATAGTAAGTCCCCAACTTAGGGACATTTGTTTTGTTCTTTTTTTTTTTACTTAGAACATTTGTGAACTTTCACAGGTGCGAATGGACCTCACCTTATGAACATTCATAGATGTGAACAAATCACAGAAGTACCTTACATATTTGCTGGACATTGTCAAGTTGTGCTGCTGTGTGCTTACTGTAGAGTGCAATAGTGTACAGTAGTACAGTATTCAGAGTCCAGGATGTCCAGAAGCAAGAGGAAAAGCAGTGGTGATGTGGAGGGGACTGCTAGGAAGCTCAAAGCAATATACATTGTATATTTGTGTCAAAGGAGTATAAGATTCACTTTGTTGGACTTAAAAATGAATCTGACTTGAATATTCTCCCAGAACAGAACTTGTTCATAAGTTGGGGACTGACTCTATTATTGTATATATTGTGGGTCCTGGTGGTTCATGCTTGTGATCCCAGCACTTGGAGGGCTGAGGCAGGAGGATGGCCTTAATCCAAGGCCAGCCTGAACTATGTAGTGAGACCCTGTCTCAAAAAACAAAAAAAAATTTTTTTTTTCGTATTTTCTAGGGTCACTATATTGCTGCATTAGACACGTGCATCCTTTTTTTTTTTTTTTTGGTACTGGGGATCAAACTCAGGACCTTGGGTTTGTGAGGCAGGTGGCAGAACCACTGAGCTAAATCCCCAGCCCACATGCATCCTTTTATTCACTAACTTTAAGTTGACTTTCTGTAAGACTCCTCCTAGCCAACTAGAAATACCAGAGATAGAGCCCTGACAAGGACAGTTGGGCAGGAAGAAGTCAAAGCCCACCAAAAAGAATGTGCACTTAGGCAGTGGTGCCTAGGTTAGGGTCTTATGGCCCAGGCTCTGTCTAAAACAGCTCAGAGATCCAATCAAGTTGTGACAAGTTCCAGGTCCCCACCTAGAAGGAAGGGTCCTTAAACCCAATAAAAGAAACTGGGAACAAAGGGCCTGTGGGAATCCATCTTTCTGGAGCCCCTTGCCACCCTTTGGGACAGCTTTCTGTGTTCTAATTTTTCCTTCCTTTCTTAACCCCATCCTTTAATTCATTATTGGTGCTGAGTTTACAGTTCCAGTTAGCTGCTCATCCCAGCTTATCCCCAGATGTGACATTGCAAAGCAAATCAAGGCAAGTGGCAGATTTTTATAAGCCATATAAGGATCTTGATGGAGCAAGGAAATTATGTGTAGCACCAGAAAATGAGTCAAATTAGGCAGAAAATAACCAAATCAGAATGTAGACCCAAAATCCTAAACCTAGAGTAAGTGTCCACTTATGTTGGGATAACTCATGGGTCATAGCTTGAGGAAAGTCTTAACTTTCTTCCCAAGTATAGCCTGGTTAGTCTCCCTGTGGTAAATCCTAGACAAAGCTTTTGAATATATCAGAAATGAGAGACTCTCAACTGCAATCAGTTAAAAGAGTTAAAAATGTATTAGCATTTAGAAATATCATTTGTATGCGTTAAAGGATGACTAATTTGTGGTTGGATCCTTGTGTCCCTTTGAAGAGGTATTTGAGGTCCTTGACAGGCTCATAAGAACATTGTCTTTGATTGTCATCTTGGGTGGATCAGGTAGAGCTGGCTTGATCCTAGAGAGGTGAATCCAGCTGTCCATACCTGCTAGTTATACAGTGGTTGGGGAGGCTAAAATGAAAAGGAAAGGGCCCTTTTACTTTGGTCTTAACTGGTCTGCTGGAGTCCCTTCTTTCCAGGTTTTAAGAAGCACTTGATCCCCAGGGTAGATCCTAAGTGATCCCCTGGGGCCAGGAGCTGGCGGGACCATATTTCCATATTGTTAGATAGCTTGTTGAACTTGGCCCGGATTGATAAAATACTGTGAAGTTTAGTGGCTTCAGGATCTATCACCGTGTCAGAAAATACAAAAGGCCTCTCATATGGCATTTCATATAGACTTTTTTTTTTTTTGGTACCAGGGATCGAACTCAGGTCCTTACGCTTGCGAGGCAGGCGGAGGAACCACTGAGCTAAATCCCTGGCCCCATATAGACTCTTTTTTAGCCCAGTCTTTAGAATGTTTTCAAATCTCATGAAGTCTATAGGCCATGGCTCAGAAAACTCTTGGCAAAGTTTTGCCAGTGTCTGTTTTAGGGTCTGGTTGGCCCTTTTGACCTTTCCAGGAGAGAGGTCTCCATGCAGAGTAGAGTTGGCATTTATTCCTAAAACCTTTGCTACCCCTTTAGTTATGTGAGAGGTAAAAGAATGTCCATTGTCATTTGAAAGGACAGGGAGGTCCAGAGCGAGGAATGATTTCCTTGAACACCTTGGAAAAGCTATTTCCTCT